CCCCTTGCTGACAACCCTAGTAAAAATCAGTTTTCAACTGATCTAAGTAATTCTGACTCTGATGAACTTTCTGACAGCCAATCAGAACCCTCTCATTCAAAACCCCCTGAACCATCTGTTTTTCAACCTATTCCTGCTGAACGTTTCTCGAGACCCCCTCCCAGGCCTTTATCACCCAGACCCACTGGATGGTATGATGTTGGTTCTTGGAGAATTCCAGGGATAAATGAACCTCTAGCAACAATAAAACCTCCTTTCAATCTACCAACTGAAAATATTTTTGCTATGAACCAACCACAACCTCAAAATCCTATTCCCACTCCTGCTTATACAATAATTATTTCACCTGATATCACTCCACCCACCTCACCACAACATACAACACCACTCACAACTCCTCAAATTCCAGAACAACAAATTTTTGAACAAACTGAAATTGCTGAACCATCCGTACCTCATGATATATCAGAACCTCCTATTTGTGTTAACCAACCTGAATCTGAACCTACAAATAATCCTGAATCCAATAGCTTTTTAAGAACTGTAGTGGACTCTCAATCTCTACAATTCTTGAAAAACAAATCTTATAGAACGGTTGTCCCTAAACCTATTTAGCCAGATGTAAATATTTTGTTTCAAAATTTTATAACAAATGTTCAAGCATGGTTACAACCGCTGAAAGAAGATTGCCTCAGAAGTGTGAACACCGCAGCAACAGATCTTCTATGGGAAACTTTCAGAAGAACCTTGGTTGCTGAATCACGGAAGTTACATGATTTGTGCCACTCTCAGGTGTTGGACAACTTTTCCAAACTTCTGCATGTTTTCAAGACAGAAGCTGCTGATACTTGGAATAAGAAGTCTTCGCTACTGATTGCTGATACACCAGCTGATAAGATGGACATATTAGAAGATGAATCTGAAGAATACTCTGAAGATTCAAATCCTCTGGCTATTGTTCTATTGAATCAACCTTCAGTTAAGGATGGACCTGAACCTGTGCCAACTCTTACAATGGATCTGGGCACTCTGCTCTCCACCTTTGTGAAGTCTGATTCATCAGTTGCTGCTTCTGACCCTGTTTCTACTGAAGCTTCATCATCTTCTGCCCCTACCTCACTCATTATGGACACTCCGAAAGAGCTAAAGAGGGAGAATGAAGTCTTGAATAGACGCATGGATAAGCAAGATCAAACAAATCTAGAGTTCAAGAACTGGATGGCAATGCAAAGTGAATCTGCCTCTGAGATCAAGAACCTTCTGATGGCTCTTGTCTCTAAGAAATCCTAGTTTCTTTTTGTCTCTTATTTGGATGTTTTGTTTGTACTTCTGGATATCTTTTTTAACTTTTTATGAAATCTTTTAAAATTTCTCATTTATTACACTTTTTGATTATGCCAAAAAGGGGGAGAAAATGTGCATTTTTGAACTAATCACTGTTTAACAGTTATGGGACTATGTCTCAGACATTCTAACAAAATTACAAGAATTCCTTCAGTGCAAAAGATTTTTGCAGGTATCATTTAACTCTGAAAGAATATTCCAGCTAAGATTTATCTTCTTGAAGAAGTTCTGAAGAAATTCAAAGAAGGCTGTGTATCACTCTGACTAAATAATCTCAGGATGTCTTATGCATAAAAATATTCATTTCAGGGGGAGATTCTTATCTCTTAATCTGTTTCTTTTCTTTATCTAAAATAATTTTTTTGTCATCATCAAAAATGGGGAGATTGAAAGAACAAGATTAGTTCTGACCTATCCCAAGTGTTTTGATGATAACTAAATTATATTTAAGATAATTTATGCTCTAATGAATGTGTTTTGAATGTCTTAGTTAATGTTATGACAAGAAACATTCCAAAGTACTAAGCAAAGATTATGAAGAAGTTCTTTGATAAAAGAACCTTTTATTCAAATGCATCTGCTGACTCTGGTAAGAACCTTTATTTTTTAAATGTATCTTCTAACTTCTAGCAGGCTTCTTGATTCTGAAGATAACTTGAAAGCAAGCGCTGTTCAAAGATCTTAGCAAGCAACGCTCTGACCAGAAGTTGAATGAAGCATGTTCTGAGTAAAAGCGAATACTGAAACAACGTCTTAATCAACGTGTCTTGTCAAAGCAAAGGAAACACGTTCTTACATTCTGACGTTTGCTAATTAATGCAAAGACGACTGAAAGCACTCAAGTGCCTACAACTAGTTTCTTGGAGAATGGAATTTTGCAAGGATACACGCAAAGCATTTAATGCTCTCCATTTCCTCTGAAGGCAGCAACGGTCTTATTGCTCCTACTATAAATAGAAGGACATTTATTGCAAGCCAACAATCAATGTTAAAATAAGAAACTACGTGAAAGATTCAAAAGCTAACAAACTCATAGTTCATACATTTTGTGTATTACATTCTAAGAAAAATCACAGTTGTGATATAGCTTGATTAGAAGCAAACTCTATTTCAATTATCTGTAAAGATTATACTTCTGTATTTGTTCCTTGAGAGACCAAGTTTGGTCAGATTTCTCAAGCAGACTAGGACTAGATTTAAGTCTTAGTGGTGTTAGTCACTTGTAAGTTTACTTGTGCATTGTTAGTCACAACAATTGTTGTGTGATTGTAATCAGTTGATTATAGTGGATTAAGTCATTGTTGAGAAAGGCGAAATCACCTTGGCGGGTGGATTGGAGTAGTTTGAGTTCAAACGAACCAGGATAAAAATAACTGTGTTATTCCATTATTGTTTGAGCTTTGTATTGAAACTCGAAAAGAGTCACTTATTCAACCCCCCCTTCTAAGTGTTTTCTTACCCCTTCACGTTGTCCTCATCATCAATCTTCACTTCAATATTCTCAAGATCATCGATAATCTTGTGAAATTTTGTAAGTTGTTCAACTATGGATTTGTACTCCACCATTCAGAATGAATAGAGTTGTTGTTTTAGACACAACCTGTGAGCCAAAGACTTTGTCATATACAATGATTCAAGTTTTTCTCAAATAGCAACTACAATTTTCTCCCCGGCGACTTCTCTTAGAACTTTATCCCCGAGGCACAAGATAATAGCACTTTCGACCTTATCCACCATCTCGGTCTTCTATACCTGTGTAAGTCCTGCAGGCATTAATGCTTCACTCTTCAAAGCATCGATACACTTCTCTTGAATTAAAATTGCTTGCATCTTAATTTTCCACAACTTAAAGTCGTTGTTACCGAAAAATTTCTCGATCTCCCATCTAACCATGGCGCTCAATACCTCTTTGCCCCACGCTCACTACACCACTTGTTGTGAATCTATTTGTGAATTACGACAAAATTCAATATCAATTTGTGAGGCAAAAAATAGTAGCAACCAAAATAAATGGTCTACAATAATAATAATTCATACGTAGATAATATAACATAATAAGTCGAGAAAAAGACGAATGTTTGTTTTCCCAGTTCAATCAAACGATCTACTATGGGAGAGAGAATAGCTCTCCAATTCATTATACTCAGAAATTTTTTACAAGAGATTGCAAATCAGTTACAAGAAAATAATCTCCGCCTTCAAGTTCTCAAGAACAACCCTGAATGCGTCCAAGAATTACCCTATTTTCTACCCAAGTATTTCTCAACCTCTTCAACCTTCAATATATGAATAACTCAAACCCAAAGTGTAAACAAGTATTTTCCAATAACCTTAAATAATCTCAAATATTTTCAAAACCCCTGCCTTTTTAAGGCTTCCCTTGAGAATAGCCAAAATCCTATACTATGCCTTTAAGCCCTTGCTCTAGCTCTAAGATTGTCACACCTGCAAGCATGTAAGAGATACATATTTATAATAGCAAATACTCAACAAACAAAGCTCAAAATCACAATTCAATTCTACATGGATCCATGGACCGAACCGAAAAAGCCCGAAAACCCGAAATCACTATTCACCGACGAATAACACTATTCACCGTACGAACACTATCATCCGTACGGACAACACTATTTATCCGTACAGATGATACGATTCACCGACCAAAATTTCCCCCTCAATTTCTATTTTTTGACTTTTCGCCCGATTTTCGCGGTAAATGCAATCTCCAAAATATGTTTTTTTTTTTCATTTCATTAACAAAGGTTTTAAAACACATTTACAACAAATTAAATATAATTATTTAGTATAATTACTTGTATAGTCATGTAAACTCTACATATACAAGAAAGAAGAATGAGAAACACATTAAGCCAACAATTATTGACACCCTTCACTTTAGAAATGGATCTCACATAAAGTGATAGAACTCACACATATTTCAACCAATAAAAAATAAATTTTTAAGAAAGCATTTAAAAAAAAGAGTATTCTTAACATTTTTTTAAATTTTAAACTTGTGCCTTCAACCATGTCTGCCTGCTTTATTTTTTGTGTGCAGTTTTTGCAGGACGGGTCTAAGAAGAGGCCGCCAGTTTGTCACCCTAGAGATAGTCTTCCTTAAGAGGGTGTTCAATATTTACCATGTGCGTTTCTATTTTCTTTGTTACTAGTTGGTGCCCCAACGCAACTCAATATTATTGTGCTATACTTTTAGGAAGTGTGCAAGTTGTATTAATTTGGAAATTTTTGCAGACATAAAAAGAATCATTTTCTAACTGTTAACACTAGCTGCAATTAAAAAGCCTCAACAAGTAAATGAACGAGGTTCTTTTGCTTGTCAATTGCAGAAGAAAAAAAACACAAAATCTATAGACTGTTTAACTTTCCTTAACATGTACAAAAATAGCAACATGCATTTGAAACAGCTCTTAGAAGTGAAACCATTTACATTTACGTTGACGAGGGTAGCAAAGTTTTACCTCAAAAAAAACATAAAAAGTACTAAAAAAAAGTCAAACAGAACCCAAAAAGTGAAATCCAACCTCAAACCACATAGTAGGTAAAAAGAGAGAAGATTAAAGGATCCAAAAATACAATAACATACAAACAAAGATAGTGTTATCTTGTCTTTTGGATTGTACCACAAAAATCTAGATCTACCATAGATATCTTGTTCTCTTGGAACTGAAAGCAGGACTAATCTGTGGAACTGTGAAAATGTTACCATCATCCCTCAACCTTGATCTGTTGATGTTGCTGTTTTTCTTGGTCTCACTCTGACCCATCATCATCTGTGAAGAAGAATATAGAGATGGTGGTGGTGCTTGAGGAACCCAGATCCCAATGTTACTATTGGGAAAAAATGAATCAAGATTTTCTTCAAACAATTCATCACCCTGCATTTTATTCACCAGATCCAAATCTTAAACAAACCAATCAATTATTTCTAGTATTAGTCTCTTTCATCGAGGTCAAACGCAGCTGATTCAACTCATAAAATAGTCCTCAACCGCTTTAATTTCATAACTCCCAGCGGTTGAGACTGTTTCATTGCAGTCAAATGCAATATATAGACCGTCTCGAGAAATAGACCTCAACCAATATAATCTCAAAAGCGACTTGCGGTTGAGACCAGACTCGAGACTGTATTTGAGCATTTGACTGCAATATTTTTGTATAATAAAATTTTATTAAAGAAAATAAAAAATCAAAATTGAACTGAATTTTCTACCAGAACAGTTTGATCTGATATAGTAATTTATAAATAAACACAAAGTTGGTAACAATAAATTAATTTACAGTGAGAGAAAGAAAATATAAAAACCTTAGAGAAAGCAAAGGGAACAGAAGAAGAATCTAGAAAATCATCAACTTGCCAACCAGGTAGAGTCTCAATCAAGTACTTAGAAATACTTGAACCACCACATCCTTCTTCTCCTTCTTCCACAGCTACGTTTTGTGAAATAGTACTTGATTTTTCAATCAAAGAAGAAGGAACAAGATTTGACTTAGTACTAGCAATAGTCGATACTGATGAAGATGAAGAGTTAGTACTAGTAGTTGAAAGCTTAACACCAGTGAGAAGAAACCTATCATGTTTCTGAGTCAGTTCGTTAACAGAATGAATAGATGAATCACAGTCTTTACAGAGAATCGCTCTATCTTGTTTACACAACACAAAAGCTCTTCTCTCCTGTAAGAATAAAAAGTCAACACATGAAAATCGATTTTGATGTAAAAAGATAAGGGAGGTTTATTATATATATTACCTGACAGATATCACAGAGAGGGTGTTGATTAGGAGAAGGAGTGTGAAGAGAGAGACGGTGGTGTTTGGAGGCTAGCTTGTTGGCGTGGTGGACACGGTGGTCGCAGTCGTTGCATAAGGCAGCTTCATCGGCGGTGCAGAATAATGAAGCTTCGTTTTTGTTACAAACGTCGCATTGGATCTTCATTTTTTTGGTTTGCGAAAATGGAAATGATTGGGTTAGATAAATGAAAAAATGAATAAATTATTTAATGGGAAAGATGGCACCATGATCAATGAGGGAGTAGTTTATGTGAAGAAATAAAAATAGGTAACCCACCATTATCATTTCGGCATTATAATATATTATGACAAATTGTGAGTTCATATTTAAAAGATATTGAAAAAGAAATAGGGGACCAGGGCTGTTGCTTTCTTGATAAATAAAATATAGATTCGATTTAACAAATCATGGATGCGAGAATCAAAGATATGCTAAAATAATACTCCTGCTACTACTACTATTTATGGGTACTTTCATCCTAAAATAACTATCTATAGTAGATATTTTTGGGTACTTTTTCAAACCATATATATATATATATATATATATATATATATATATATATATATATATATATATATATATATATATATATATATATATATATATATATATATATATATATATATATATATATATATATATATATATATATATATATATATATATATATATATATATATATATATATATATATATATATATATATATATATATATATATATATATATATATATATATATATATATTCTTTATGTTTTTAATCTCTATAAAGTTAGTTATTTTCGTTTTTAATCTTGATAAAAATTTCCGTTAAAGAATGATTTCTTAAAGATTTGCTGTCAGCAATTTTGGTCCTTGGCGTTAGATTTTAGTAACGGAAGTTGGTGTGGCGGTATAGGTGGCAGGAATTTGAAAATTAACAGTAACAAATAATACCATATGATTTTATTGGGATTAATGTAAGTTAGCACATCGACTCTTCATTGACTTTTATTTAAAACCCAAATCAGAAACACTAATATCAGACCATCGTGCCTCATTTTCTCAGAACAATCATCCTCACCATTTATGCAATTTGCTGTTAAGGAAGTTTGACGAACTCAAGCCACTTTGTACGAAGGTTTATGAACTCAAGTCACATTGTACGAAGGTTGGTGTTTTCGTTGAAAGTTGTGGTCTTTGGTGTTTCGTGTTGCAAACAAGTATGTCCCACATGTCCATTTCTCTTTTACATTGTTTTAGTGTTGTGTCGTTTTCATATGTCCCACAGTTTTCACCTGCATCTAAAAAAGGAATTATAATAAGCTGTCGTTGACTGTAGTTTTTAGGGTTACACATTGACATAATATGTAATGTCCACTTGATAGTTTCTTGGTTGAATTATTGGATTTATGAGGATTTTTTATGAAGGGGGTGGTTTGTAAAAGACCCCAATTTAAAATATGAAGGTGGGGATACATATGCATATAATGGTCAAGACAGTGATTACTAGTTATTGTACCCCAAAATTTTCCCTCCCATTTCTTATTCAAGATATTCTCCTAGAGTTCTCAAATGCTCAAGAATTGATCAGACAAATTCTCCTCCTAAGCAATGGGTCCACAACTAGGGTTTTGTATTTCTCAAGGAAGATTGAGTTTCCAAGGTCTTAAGTGGTTTTTATGGTTCTTCATATGTCCTCAAGGATGCTCATGTTAAGTTTCGAGCTTTGCATCACAAGTTTGCTCAGTCAATGGTTCAGATGACTAAAAATTAACTGTATTGGGCAAAAAGTCAACGTTTGCAAGTTCAAGTTAAAACGATCATAACTTCTTCATTATTCAATATTTTTGATTGGTTCTTTTTACGTATGACTCTCCTTGACGTCACCTCCAACTTCTCTTTACAAGTCAAGAGCTGATTATGTGCGAAAGATCATAAAAAATTCGAATACTTTAGAGGTTGCTTTGTGGGCTTTGACCTAATTTCAGGTAAATATTTCCCGACTTCCACGGATCATAACTTCCTCGATTTTCAACATTCTAAGGTGATTCTTTTTGCACTTTGTCCTAAATGTGTCATCTACAAGTTTTCTTCAAAACTCGAGGTCAAATCATGCTTAAAAGGCCGCGAAATTTAGCGAAACATTATAGGTCATTCTTCTTGACTTAAAACTTTCTTGAGTTCAAATTTCAATTCACGGTGCCAATTTATGAATGCAATAAATTTTACCTCGAAGCCCTCTTCTATTTGATCATTCAAGGCCTTTTACGTTTGGTTCGATTCATGACGCAAGATGAGTTGATTTAAGATTTGTGAATAACTTGTACAAGGCATTCCTCTCGAGTATTTAAAGTGAGTTCACAAAATATCATAATTGAACATTTATCGAGTTTTGAGAAGAAAGTTGAATTTCATTTGAATGGCATGGCGTGGTTGAATTCAAGACCATTTCGGAAGAAGAATCTATCTAGAATTCTTGGAGTTTTTGTCATTTAGAATTCAAAGGTTAAATCGAGTGTGCAAGGTATAGTTCATTTGTTGAATATTACTTAAGGCATTTTGCAAGGTTTTAAGTTCATCATTCAAATTTCCAAGCCTTATTCAAGTTACACATTCATTCAAATTCAAAAAATTTCATGACTATTCAAGTGTCATTCATTCAAGCTACAAAAATTACAAGCAAGGATATAACAAGTTCAATTGTTCAATTGTGCAATTAAGTTGCAAGCAATTTCGTTCATTCAAAGTTTACAAGCATCAATTGCAATTCATGTTGTCTTCACATCATGAGCATTGGATCAAAGAAAAAACTTTACAAGAAAAACATTGTTTCTAAACCTAAATCCTAAAGCTACCAAGATGCAAAAATTTGCTTCATGCCAAGATACTCTCACCCTGAAAGATGCTTCCCCAAGACCATGACCTTGCTGCCATACAATCGTCCAAAACTGCTGCTTCCCTGCAAAGACCTGCTACACAAACAGCCAGCCCAAAATGCCTTTTCCTAGCCTGCTTTAAACCCTGTAAAACCTGCACAAAGCAGTCCATAACATGCATCAACCTGCTGCAAACATCAGTCCAGAAATTGCACAATTTCAGCAAAACAAAAATCTTCAACAAAGTATTGAAGCAGCTAACCAATTTTGTTAAAAAATTCACCAAAACTTTCCCCCCAAATCCCATCTTTCTCACCTATAAATACAACAGAGAAGAAATAGTAAAGGAGGAAGCGAGATTCAAAAACAAAACAACAAATCCAAACCCTCAATCTCTCAATAACTTCAGAACCATCTCCCTACCATAACAAAAATCATCAACCTCACTCTTCACTTTAAAACACTCTACTCATCTCTCGTATACTTACTCCTCACTACACTCCAAAAACTCATCAACTCAGGACCCCTCAACCTACCATGACCTCATAATCCTTGTTCAAATCAAAACCAAACTTTAGCCCATACTCCTCAGCTCAAACAATTACATAAAAAACTTCACTCTACCTTCTCATACTCTCCCTGAAACCACAACAACACCACAGTTTCACTCTCATTCAGCACACACGCATACAAAAGTAACATCAAGAACGCAGCGCACGCACAGATAACAATAACATAGCAGAGCATAAAATTCGAGCAAAGAGAACAAGAAAGAGAGGAGATATATGTTTCAGTCGAAAGAAGTTTGCTATCGTCACCGGGATCCCTGCATGCCTTCGTCGCACACCAGGGCCATCGCCGTTCACTTCTGCTTAACTTCAGAAGGTTGAATCCTTAACTCTTTTTGCTATCTTGAGATGATTTTTGTATTATTTTGTAGTTTACAACCTATGGTTTCTGATTTTTTTAATCGTAGATCGTTACCTTATTTTTGTTTATGAGAAAATGAGTACTAGTTTTGGGTAGAGGAATAGAAAATTAGAAATAGAGATCATGAGAGAGGTGAAGAGAAACAAAGTGTTTTACCCCAAAATTTTCCCTCTCATTTTTATTCAAAACATACTCCTAGAGGTCCCCAAGTGCTCAAGGTTGACCAAGAATTGACCAGACAAATTCTCCTCCTAAGCAATGGATTTCCAACTAGGGATTCATTTTTCACAAAGAAGTTTGGTTTTCAAAGGCCTCAAGTGATTTCCATGGTTCCTAATATGTCCTCAAGAATTCTCATGCCAATTTTCATGCCTCACATTACAAGTTTGCTCAGTCAATTGCTCAGATGACTAGATTTTAACAATATTAGGTCAAAAGTTAACTGTGGTCAATATACAGTCAAACTTCAAGATTTTTGGTCAACATCAACATTTTGAAGTGATATCCATCATTTGATCAAGTTTTGATCATTATTCCTCAAGGAATGCTCTCAAATCATCAAGAATCAAAACTTGCTAAATTAGGGTTTCCTAGAGAAAGTCAACTAAACTTTGACCAGGCATAACTTTCACATGATTCATCCATTTTTCCCTAACCAAAGCTCATTGTGAACAAAATTTAATTCTATACAAACTTTCTTTTGTCCTCAAGTTCAAAAAATGCATCATTGGAAAGATATGAGCCAATACATTACAGGTCTTTTTGAAAGTCAACAAAAAGGCATTTTTTGTCAAGGCAAGTTACATCAATATAAATTCTCCAAATGCAAAAATAGTCAACATAGAGATTGTATAAGAAATCCAGGGCTTTCTAAAAAGTCTAAGAGAATCTTCAAAATTTGAAAATTGAGCAAGTTATGACCAATGCAAATTGGGCAAATTGGTGAAAATGCAAAAAGTCAACTTTGAGCAAAAATGTATTTTTAAGTTCATAGACCTATTTTTTGGGATTCAAATATGTTTATGACTTAATCAAGGACTCCTAAATTCACTCTCACCTTGATTTGCATTTTCCTATATTTTATTCATATTTTTTTTGTTTTTATTCAAATAAATAAAAAATAAAATGCATAAAATAATAGATAAATGGTTTGGACAGATGGGCTAATGTTTTGAATCAACATTGGGCCTAAGATTTCGTGCAAAAGAGCCCAGGTTCATTGCATTTCAAGAAGGGCAAGTTTTTCACAATTTTGGAAACATTTTTAATATGTTTGATATTGCTTTGAAAGGGGGCCTTAATGCTATGATTCTTGCCATGTTTGTGTACCTCTACATCCCTCTATAAATATGA